CGACGAGACACCAGCCGAGTCCACCGAGAGCGCTGTCGAGACCGCGCCAGTCCCCGCGCCAGAAGCAGCACCTGCCCAGCCTGCCGAGAACCCGGACAAGGCTACTACAGGCGCGCAGGAGGATGTCGCCCTGAGACCTGCCGCGCCCACCGAGGAGGCTGTCGTGGACGAAGACAAGCCTGCTCTGCCGGACGCTGCCGTCGATGACGACGCCGTTGTTGCTGAGGAGAACGCCATCGCAGAGGAGGCCGCTGTCGTCGAGGAAGCTGCCATTGCAGAGGAAGCCGAAGCTGTGCAAGCTGAAGCTGCTGCCACCGAGGAGCCCTCTGCCCCGGCCCCAGCCGCTGCTCAGCCCGCCGAGAATACAGACAAGGCAGTGACGGGTGCTCAAGAGGAGCTCGCTCTACGACCTGCTGCGCCTGCCGACGAAGCCGCTGTTCCCGATGCGACCGCTCCTGCGCCGGCTGAAGCAGTAATGGCCCCGAGCACCGAACCTGCTTCAGAAGCAGCCACACCTGTTGTAACCAAGGCCAAGGCCAATGGAACTCCTGGGCTCAAGAAGCCCGAGATCAGGAAGCCCGCTGCCATCTCGACTGCCAAACCTGCCAAGGCTCCCGCCGCCCCTGCCAAAAGCCCGCTACCTAAAGCAGCACCCAAGACCCCTACGAAACCCAAGACGGCCGCACCCACCATCAAGCCTAGTCCAGCTGCAAAGACCACAAAGCCCGCAGCCCCCAAGGAGCCTGTCAAGGCCCCCGTTGCCAAGGCCCCCGCAGCAAAGGTTCCAGCCGCAAAGGTTCCAACTGCTAAGACCAGCCGCACCTCTCTGCGACCTGCAACATCTGCGTCCTCAGCGACGGCACCCACTGCTGCCGCTGCCTCCAAGACCAAGCCTGCGGCCGCACCTGTGGAGAACAAGAAGCCTGCCATTCCCAAGCCCGCCACTTCCGCCCCCCGCAAAAGGTATGACAGAGCCACGTGGGACAATGCGCCAATGCTAACAACGCTACAGCACGTCCCCAACAGGCTTTAAGAAGCCAACCCCAAAGTCTCCTACTCGTCCAGTCGGTTTACCAACCCGTCTGACTGCGCCGACGGCTGCCTCGGCTGCCAAACATGGCGAGGAGCCCAAGGTCACACGCAAGCCCTCCACCAACACCCGTCCTACACCCAAGGCCCCGGCACCAAAGACTTCGCGCCCTTCCATCGCACCCCCTGCGCCCAAACGACCTGAATCGCGCACCTCAACCGCAAGTGCTGCTCCTAAAGGAGGCTTCCTCGAGCGCATGATGCGACCCACGGCCGCCAGCTCCAGCAAGACACACGATAAGCCCCATGAAAAGCCGTCATCACCACCGCGTAAGGCTCCTGCCGCTTCCAAGATCGGCACTCTACAAAAGGGGAAGAAGAAGGCGGAAGAGGTCGTGTCCAAGGCCAGAGCAGTGGTTACGAACGGAAATTCTGAGGAGCACAAGGATGGAGATGAGCCCGCAAAGGAATCTGAACATGGCGATCGGACAACCGAGGAGCCTATCGCCAATGAGCCAACACACGAATCGCACAAACCAGCCACTCCAGTTCAAGAGGTAGACTCGTCAGTTGCAGAACTCCAGACACCCAACTTCCCAGAGGAGACGGTCCGGTAGACGAGGGCCATTATGCCTCTGACCTAGGCGTATACATTTCTCAAATCGTATGTATTCCTGCAACACTTGGTCAAGTCTTAGGTTGCCGTACCATGCCATCTTGCACAACTATGGGCGATGTTATGTGCGCGGAGCTGTATGGCTCCCATCTTCTTTCACTTCTCAACAGCATTTTCTGGAGCGATTGTTTGGCGTAACTGATATTTGGGCGGATACCTAAGGACATGGAGCGGAGGTGGGTTTGGATAGGACTATTGCGTGCATAGTTGTTCTTTAGCGATAGGCTTCGCAGAATCTGGCAGACATCACTATTAGATTACAATCCCATTCTTCACTCCAAGATGGCTTTCTGTCTACTTGTCCACTCGTGCAATGCCTATGGTAGGGTGGGCGGGCACACGTCGACACGTGACTGGCACCTCCGCCGAAACTCCGATGGCCCAACTTTTTCCTGGCGGGCAATTCGACATTGCGAAGCGACAGCAGACCCCGCGTCGCCCCTTTGTTCAAGATGAGGGTTCAGTCTCTTTTCCGGGCGCAAGCACTTGCCACGAGCAGTCTTCGCTCTTCAGCACGCTCGGTTGCGACGCCTTCACGATGCGCTCTTTCGACCATTGCGGCAACGCGCATGCCCTATACCAACGGCACCAAGACAGACACATGGATAGGGGCCCACACCACGAAGCCACAACGAAGATGGCAGTCTGCGGCTGCGCAAGTGTATGTGCTGCCATGTTTGTTCTGTGACGGCCAGAGAGCAATGGAAGGCTGATTGAACGTCATAGGCTGGAGCAAGCAAAGGAAGACCCCTCTACCTTGACGCAAGAGAAAATCGTCGAGAACCTAGACCCTGTCGAATGGGAGCGACTATCGCGAGTGCGAAACATCGGCATCGCAGCACACATCGACTCCGGCAAGACCACCGCCACCGAACGCGTCCTCTTCTACACCGGCCGAATCAACGCCATACACGAGGTACGCGGCAAAGATGCTGTGGGTGCCAAGATGGACTCTATGGATCTCGAGCGTGAGAAGGGCATCACTATCCAGTCTGCTGCGACCTTCTGTGACTGGATCAAGAAGGACGATGAAGGAAAGGACCAGAAATACCACATCAACTTGATTGACACTCCAGGCCACATCGACTTTACAATCGAGGTAGAGAGAGCACTGCGAGTCCTTGATGGAGCCGTCATGATCCTGTGTGCTGTCAGCGGAGTGCAAAGTCAGACCATCACAGTCGACAGGCAGATGAGGCGGTACAACATTCCAAGGATTTCCTTTGTGAACAAGATGGATCGTATGGGAGCCAACCCGTGGAAGGCTGTCGAACAGATCAACCAGAAGCTTCGCATACCGGCTGCGGCTCTCCAAGTACCCATCGGCCGCGAGGATGGCTTTTTGGGTGTTGTGGATCTGGTCAGGATGAAGGCGATTTACAACGAAGGACCCAAGGGCGAGACCATTAGGGAGACCGACGAGATACCTGCGGATATTATTGAGCTCTGCAAGGAGAAGAGGCAGAAGCTCATCGAAACACTTGCAGATGTCGACGATGAGATCGCAGAGCTTTTCTTGGACGAGCAGGAACCGACAATTCACCAGATCAAGGCTGCGATTCGACGAGCCACCATCTCCCTCAAGTTCACCCCGGTTATGATGGGCTCCGCGCTTGCAGACAAATCCGTCCAACCAATGCTCGACGCTGTTTGCGACTACCTACCAAACCCCTCCGAAGTCGAGAACATGGCACTGGACAAGAAGCGAGCAGAGGCACCGGTCAAGCTGGTATCATACAACTCTTTGCCATTTGTCGGTCTGGCTTTCAAGCTAGAAGAAAGTAGTTTTGGACAATTGACATACATCCGTGTGTACCAGGGTACGCTCAGAAAGGGAATGAATGTATTCAACGCGAGGTCAGACAAGAAGGTCAGGATACCGAAGATTGTGCGCATGCACTCCAACGACATGGAGGAAATCCAGGAAATTGGTGCTGGAGAAATCTGTGCCGTGTTCGGTGTTGACTGCGCGTCTGGAGATACCTTCACTGACGGTAATCTTGGATACACCATGGTAAGACTTTAAGACTATTGTTATCATATCTTCAAGCTGACACGATAGACCTCCATGTTCGTACCCGAACCCGTCATCTCCCTATCAATCAAGCCCAAGCACACCAAAGATACACCCAACTTTAGCAAAGCCATGAGCCGCTTCACGCGCGAAGACCCTACATTCCGAGTCCATACCGACCCCGAATCGCAAGAGACCATCATCTCCGGTATGGGAGAACTACATCTGGACATCTATGTCGAGCGCATGCGCCGCGAATACCGCGTCGAGTGCGAAACCGGACAACCACAAGTCGCCTACCGCGAGACAATGACCAAGCGCGTCAACTTCGACCACACGCTCAAGAAGCAGAGTGGTGGGTCAGGAGATTACGCGCGAGTAGTCGGCTGGATGGAGCCAAGCGAAGCTGCTGGTGAGAACAAGTTCGAGCAACAGATTTCCGGAGGCACCATCTCCGAGAAGTTCCTCTTCGCCTGTGAAAAGGGCTTCATGGCCTCCACGGCCAAGGGCCCGCTTCTCGGCCATAAGGTTTTGGGTACTTCCATGATCATCAACGACGGAGCCACCCACGCTGTCGATTCCTCGGAAATGGCCTTCAAAATGGCCACCCAGCAAGCTTTCCGCAAAGCTTTCCAGGCCGGTGCGCCTCAGGTACTTGAGCCGCTTATGAAGACGACCATCACGGCGCCGAATGAGTTCCAGGGTTCTGTTGTTGGTCTTCTGAATAAGCGCAATGCTGTTATCAACGATACGGAGATTGGTCCGGAGGACTTTACTGTCTATGCGGATTGCAGTTTGAACAGCATGTTTGGCTTTAGCAGCCAGTTGCGTGCTAGTACGCAGGGTAAGGGGGAGTTTAGCATGGAGTTTAGCCATTACAGTCCCGCGCCGCCGCAGCTGCAGAAGGAGCTTGTGGCAAAGTACGAGAAGGAACAGCAGGCTAGGAATGCGTAAGATTAGCCTCCTAAGCTCAATCGGAGTTGAAACAGGATAGGGACCGTGGAAAAGCTCGGTGTTGGTACAACGAGCTCCCTGGATGATTCGAGTGCTGATGACATACATCGATTTATCTACATTGGCGGACGTCTGGCGTATTCTTGTGGGATTGGTAGAAAGGTGTAGAAGTATTGTACATGTAATGTTGTAAACAACACCGCCATATGACGACGAATGATATCCCCTCAACAGCTCCATCCAGCTCCATCCAGCTGCTTCTCCGTCTTCTTCTTCAATTCAACAAACCCAGGTAGAACCAATGTAACTTACCCCTTCCTCCAAAACCTACTCAACGTCCAACCCCGGCCTCATCGTCTTCCTCACAAACGCCCTCCTAATCGCAAGACTAACCTGCGTCCACCCCACCACTTCATTATGCCCTCCATACCTCACAACCTCCAACTCCACCATCCTATCTCCCTTGTCGTCCTCGACCTTCTTATACGCAAAAGCACCCCTCTTGACCCTATTCGCCCCTTGAATCGTTCTCCTCTCCTCCTCCGCCACAACCCCTTCTTCCGTCAACATTTGCGTAGCCAGTGGCTGGAACAACGCTTCAGATTCCCAGTACGTGATATCCTGGTCGTTTCGTGCGTGCAGGAGAGTAATGTGGAAACCGGACTTGTTGGCTGAGGCGGTGGAGATGAGGGCGCGTAGGCGGGTGAGGGTGGGCCAGTGGTCGACGATGCGAGTGGATAGATAGTTTGCTATCCTGGGGTAGCCTTGCAGTGGTTTTAGGATGGGGAGAACGCCGCCGATTTTGTAGGTCTTGAGGAGTTGGGGGAGCGAGGTGAAGGGGGCTACTAGGACGATGCCGGCGAAACCTTCAAAGTTACGGGATGGTTTGAATGTTACAGATGGGGATGTAATGGCCAATGGGAGGTGCTCGGAGGTGGAATTGGTGAAGTAGAGCGCGCTGGCGGCTGTTACGGCGGTGCCGAGGCTCTGGCCCAGGAGAACGGTGCGTGTGCTTGAATGAGAGAGGTCCGAGGTGATGTATGAAATCAGGCTTAAGGCGTCGGCTATTAGACCGCTTTCAGTGGGGATATGCGGGGAGTGTGTGAGCGTGGAGAGACCGAAGCCCCGGTAGTCGCAGGTTACGAGGTGAGTTTTTGGGATGCCAGAGACGGAGCGGTAGGTTGAGGGGCGGTAACCTTGGGCTATGTGGCCAGCGTTCTGTTTGGGTGGATTAGAATGAGTGATAGATAAGCTGGAAATATTAAAAGGGGTTAACGGTGGATGAAGTGACGGAAGAATGAGAGAGAAACCATGTAAAACTAAGAAAGAAGAGTCGATATAGTCTGAGATGAGAGTTTGAGATGTGATAAGACCAAAGACTCTGGAAAGAAAGGGACAGCATGCCAAACCAAAAGTCAAGAATCGAAAGAAAGCACAACCTACACCATGAAAGTTGACCACAACCCTACTTTCCGGGTCGCTGCTCAACAGCTTCTCTCCTATCGTTCCCTTCAACTCCTCTGCAACTTCCCCCGAAACAGCAGCAGTAAAAAGCTCATGTTCATTCTCCAGATAAACATCTAGAGGAAGTACATGCCAGCAAAAGAGCTTCTCTTGATCCGCTGTAGTAAGCCAAAAGGGTTGTACTTGCCCCTCTACACATGGGTACTTAGTACAGCGATAGAACAAATCGAGGAAGAGTTACAGATGCACTTACTCGCAAAGCCGAATTCTTCGGGATTCGTCACGTTGTGGTAGAACCCCGTGTGAAATTTATGGGCATAGAGAGCGCTGAGAAGACATTAGAATCGACTCCAAACGTCATCTCATCTGTCATGATGAGAGCAAAACGTACTGCCTTTGTACCGTGGGATTGACCAATAGGCCCACAAACGCGGCCCAGACAATGCCTAGAATGGCAAATGTCCAGTACGCTTTTGTAAAGATGGCTTTGAGGTTGGGCATGATTTCAGTCACAGGACGTGGTCTTGCGCTGCCTAGATACTTTATACTGTCGGGAATGTCGACGCAGAGAAAGTACTGCGACCGTAGCACTGGACTCAGGTAAAGCAAAAAGGATTATGGTGACGTTGCGGAAATGGAACGCGCGAGGGCACAGATGCATGGAGATAGGCAACTGCGGGTGATCTAACCGGGATAAGCAGGCCGCAGCGAAGATCTTGGCATCGGAGTTGAGCGATGGCAGCTCCAGATCTCATGTGTAACGAAGAGCATGCTTCAGACAATACCGCCTCACGTATCTCGCAACCGTATATCAATGACACGCGATACCGGAGCAGAATGTGTGTAGTTTGACGCTAAGAAATGGGTATCATTTGTACTCATACACACCGCAAGACTATTCCAAGATTTCCACAATATCGGCACACGATCAGACGATCTCATACAAGACTCTTCTTAGGCCGTCCAGCTTTCTTCTTTTCTGCCATACTACTGGCAGACCCACCCATCCCTCCCATGGCGACGTCCTGAGTCGGCGTTGCAACCGCAGGCGTCACGTCGCCGCTCCTAATCCTCTTCTCTGGCAACTCATCGCCGTCTTTGGGCAGTCTGAAGGCTAGATATGTCTCCTCTGCCCTTTTGCACTTATCAAACACCTCGTTCATGTATTTCTCCACGACATGCGGTGGTCGTATCGAGCGCGGCAAGGCGCTTGCGATTTCGTCGCCTTCATCGTGCTCGATTAGTAGAAGGACAGTAACTGGCTGGTAGAATTCAATGTTGTCTATCTCATTCATCTCGTCGAAATCTTCGATTCGCTGGGGCGGTTTAGGCGGCACGAAGGTTGCCGAGGGGGCTGATGCGGCAGGTTGTGTGGACGCAAAAGCAGGGTTTGTGGGGCTGGGTGTTGGTATGATGGCGTTCGGTGGGGGTGCGTCAGGTATAGCATTAGTCGCAGTACCGAGAGTCGGAATCGGCGTCGGCATTAAGTTTTGAGCAGAGGCAGACGGAGGTTTGACGACTGGATCCGGCCTTGGCTTCATCTTGGTGATGAGAAAGGACAGCTTTGCGCCTGTGCCATTGGGAAGCCATTCCATGAAACTATACGAAGGGAAGTAAAACTTGTCTTCGCTGCCATGGACAAAACTGAAGACCAACGGGCGATATGTCGTCCTCGGGGGTGGGTTGTAGGTCGATAGCTGCGGCGGCGGGTGGTATTGCGGCGGTTTGCTGAAGTTGTTCGGATAGGGTGGATATGGCTGTTGTGTAGGCGAGGGTTGCTGCGTCTGTCCCTGTGGCGGGACCGGACTGTACGGCTTGGGCGTGCTGGGCTGCAGAGGCTGCTGGACTGGCTGGACTGGGCGGGGAAGCGGAGGAGGAGCTGTGTGTTTCGGTGCTGGAGGCGGCGGCGGCGGCGTAGGTTTGGGGGGTTGCGTTGGCGGAGTTGGTTTGGGCGCTTTTTCCTCCTTCTGCCTGGCCAGAATCGCCGTCAATTCGTTGATGTGTGTCTGGAAGAACTCGAGCTGCTCCTTGCTTGCCGAGCCAGCGGCGACTATCTTCATGACAGCCTTCAGCTCGGGATCTGTTCCTGCTCTCGCGGCGAGCATGTGTATGACGGGATCGGGGGCGGGGGCTGCGGGGGCCTGAGGCGGAGGCGCGGCCTGGACAGGTTTGGGGGGCTGGGGTGGGCGTGGCTGGGGCTTCTGCTGTATGGGCTGGCCACCCTGGTATTTGGTGTGTTGGTTGGGCTGGCTGTGGTTTGGCCAGGGAGCATAGGGCGATGGCGCGGGAGGCTTTTTCTGTGCTGGTCTGCCCACCTCGCGCGGGCCGTAGAGGCGGATAGGCAGCGTGTGCGGCTCTATGACGAGCTTCACGCTCACCCGGTCGGCACCGACCTGGGGGAAGTTCTTGAGCAGCTCCTTCTGTCTCGCCGTCTTGGCCTTGTCCTCGTCGGTGCGGTCGGCCAGCTTCTTGGGCTGGTTGAAGTGGGCATGGAAGGTGCGGAAGTTGGCGCCAGACAGCCAGACAGCCTTGGAGCGCTCGAAGGACGTCTCGAGGACGCGGCTCTGCTGGATCGTCTGCCATTCGCTCGATGGAAGGTGGAGGGGCTGTGGCTCGCGCAGTGTGGGCAGCGGCGCGCCGTCGACCAGCTGGAGGGGCAGCGTCTGTCGCGGGGGCAGCGGCGCGCCCTCAGCAACGGGCGTCGAGGGCGGCGCGTCTTTGACGGCGAGGCTGGTCCGCTTGCGCTTCAGGGCGGCTTTGGCGGCTTTGGCGGCTTTGGCGGGCTTGTCGTTGGGCGTGTCGGGGGCAGCCGGGGCGGCGTCTTCGCGGGCGCGCGCCCTCGTCGACCGTCGGGGCTCAGACATGTCGTGTGCGGGTCGGGGTCGGGGTCGTGGCCATGGCCATGGTGTCGTGCACAAGGCTGTTGCTGTTGCTGCTGAGTTGCCCTGACGCGCTCCGGTGCAGCGGCGCGCTAGCCTCCGGCACTCCAGGGCTGCCTCACGCTCGCTGACGGCATGCGCTGCTACTTCGGCCTTGGCTGCAGGCTGCGAGATAAGCCCGAGCCTCTGTCCACAGCCCGGGTCGATATCCTTGCCTTCATGCAGCCTGACTCCGCTGACTCCGCTGCCTCCGCTCGCCTCACGCTTCAGTCCAGAGCCATGTCATGTTGCAAGAAAGCAGACGAGCACGGGAGTTGGTGGTGGAATCAATCAAATTGTGCCTTCTACTATCTAGTCGCACTAACCAAAAGAGAAAAGGAATGTGCCCTCAAACTAGAGAATGGTCCTGCTTCGCGCTTTCCCCTTTCTTTCAATCTGTTCTTCAATCGAGTGCTTCCCGCTCAACGCAGTCCACCCCAACATGCATGATGCTGCAGTAGCGACGCGAAAGCTCGCGCATTAAGCCTTCGCAGCATCCTTCCAGCGGGGCTTCAGCACAACTCTCCACTTGCCATCATGGAACTGCATCGTGATGAATTGCCGGAGTTGGATCTGCTGGTATCCAGCCTCCTCGAGAGCAAAGCGAGAAAGAAGATTGGCCGAGACTGTGCGCATCTCTGCGTATGCGAAGCTGGCCATGCATGTTAGTGCGCTGCTGCAGCAGAAGATGAGGGGGAAGGTAACATACTTTTGTCCGATACAATTGTGTCGGCCGTTGGAGAATGGAAAGTAAGCATCCAGACTACAATCTCACGTTAGAAAATGTCCACATCGAATCTCTCGTCTCATCACCAAGGGCGACTTACTCAGGTTCGGGTGCGTCCTCTCTTTCCTCACCTTCCAGCCACCGCTCCGGCCAGAACCTCTCCGCCTGAGGCCAGTACCTCTCATCACGATGGAGCGCTCTGTAGCTGGCCGACACAATCGTGTAAGGCGGAATCTCGTTGCCGTTGATGTTGTGGCCTTGGTCTGTGGTACGGCGACCCAGTTCCGAGGCAATGGGGTTCATACGCAGGTTCTCCTTCAGACAGGCTTCGAGGTAGCGATATTGTGGGTCTGTGCGCACCGTCTTTGAGTCTAGGATGGGGTCATTGGGGCCAAGGACGGGAAGAGAAGCGAGTAGCTTTTCGAGAGCGGCGGGGGTTCGTGCGAGTTCCACAAACAGGCATGCCATGGTTCCTAAGGCGCCTCGTTAGCTACTATGATGCGCGGTGGAGAGGGAAACTTGAAGGCCGCAACCTAGAAGCTAAGGAGTGGCAATGGGGCATGGACGAATCTAACGTACCAGACGTGGTTTCCGATCCAGCGAGAAGGAGCTCAGACATCTGATCGATGATGTCCTGGTTCGACATACGCTCTCCCGTGTCTGGTCGCGCGCCCTCGTCCAACATGTGCTGGAGGACATCGATGCGTTTCCTGTTCTCGTGTCCTCCCTGAGCTGCCGCGCGTTCGTCGACGAGTTCGCAAATCGCAGACGTCATCTCCTTGGGCCAATCAACCTCCCACTCATATCCCATGCGCCTGAGGAATCTCTTCACAAAGACCAACCCATACCTCTTCGCCTGACCATTGAAGATGGCGTCGGGAATCTTGCTCCAGCGCTTGTCCCTGCCGGACAACAGCTTGCTGGGATCGAAGATCTTGTCGATCTGCCCGAAGCCCTTACCAAATGACGACTCGCCCATGATGTCTAGCGCAAGACAGTGCAAGTCACGCATAAGGTCAGTCTCGAAGTCGCCGTTGGGGTTGGACTTGGCATCTTGAGCGATAGCCTTGTTGACTTCAGTGTAGTAGTTGCTGAGCAAGATCGATGTGCACGCTTTGAAGAACGTGTCTAGCTTGTCGACAGAAGAGACAGTGAAAGCTGGGCTGAGGAACTTCTTGAGGTTGCGGTGGGGAACGGGGCGGCTATGGGTTTTCGGCGTCAGCTACCGTCGTTTTCGCAAGGAAATACGGGAGACTGATACTTACATCTCTCCAAAGAGACCGGGACTTTTTCTGTCTCTCGAGATCTCAGCATACATGGTAACCTTGGGTAGATCAATCGTGAGAAGAATCTGCTTCATAGCTCCCTTATCAGATATCCAGAGCTGTCTTGGTCCCAAACGGATGACATCGCCGTACTGCTTGTGCATCTTCTCGACATATTCGTGGATCGTGCCACGAGCGAAGAGCCATCGCAGATGCAGGGCCGTATAGGGCGCATACCACGGTCCGGGGAAGCGCTCAAGGCCAGTCTTTTTCGTAACAGATCGAAGGTAAGAAAAGCTGATCACTATGGCCAAGAGACTTGCGACTATATTGCGCGGGTGCATCTCGATGGTGGAGAACTGCTCTGCAGAAGGGAGAGAGTCCATGGTCGGCATGAGATGCCATGGAAAAGTTGGAGTAGAGACGTTCATTGTGAGCGATCAAGGTAGATACGATGAAGAGGTATGAGATGAAGCGTTGGATTAACGGCTCCTAACGTGGAAGTGGCGTCTTATAGTCAGGTCGTTTGATCAATCGCTATAATACTCTCCCGAAGTCACTCCCCCTGCGATCCCGCCAATTTCACGCACGTTGGGGATCGCCGTGGTTAGAACCTGGAGACCCTCAAAGCTAGGTTGATACAGAGTCCCCAGACGATTGCCATACACTAGTTGCTAGATCGCAGGCTGATCAGTGGAGGGTAAACTAGACCCCCACAAGTCTGGTACCGAAAACCGACCGGCAGTAGGGTAAATGACTCAGTGAATATACCGACTCTTTCAACGAGACTACAGACAAGTTTTAACCCGGAAGCATCATGGGCACAAGTTTCGTCGGCAATGCGACTAGACTTGAGGCTGTTGAATACAACGGATCTCAGCCTCAGTGACGTAGCGTAGTGTCGATTAACTTCAAGGACTGTTCGCCCTATGCACGTAACGTCAGTGCATGTGTTTCTAGCTTCATTCTCTGTTTGACTTCGCCCACGTTCCTCGTCATATCCAGGTAGATACTTCGGCAGTCGGCCGACGCTAGCTAGACGGCCGGTCAGAGTAAGCTGACTGGTTTTCCGTGGCTATTGGGTGCTCAGGACTTGGCTTTTTGCGTCGTCTTATCTCAATCGGCACTTGTTGCACCAAACAAGTAGTTGCCGTAATACGGTAACATCCACTGACATGTGACAAACCCCACGAGGATGGTGTTGACTTTGGGCACCGGGCCTGGGTTCAGGTCATTGGGGATCGCCCCCAGGTCGGTGAGAGCTTGGTGTGTGCTGACAACACGGTCTATGTGCGCGTGGTGTCGTACTCTAATTACATCCGGTCTATCCTCTTTGCATCGTAGCCCACAGACCACGAGTCACCTCTGATTATCGCAATACTAACGACACGAACGATGCCAAAAACTATCTTCGCATAAGGAACACCAGACAATCAAGGCGACTGGGATGTAGGAAGCCTGCTTGCAGTGATCTTGGTATTCGGCCCGCACCGCTGCAGCTATCATGAGGTATCATGTTGAATGAGGCCGATGAATGCCATATGCGTTATTCGGAGATATGGGTGTCTGAGATGAAGGACTTTGCCCTAGCTGCATGACTCTAAATTCTTCCATGCTACAGTTGTGTAGTGCAGTCACCAAGGGTGTTGAGTTTGTATTCAGCCGCGTCAGCAGCTAGATGTGTTATCATGCCGATGGAGCGGGCCGTATCGGGAGAATAGCGAAACTTTGTTAAGACAAAGTTCCAACGGCGGGAATGCAGTACCGATGCAAAGCAAAGTTCCGGAGAGAACTCCGCTGCCTCCATTGGAGTGCGAGGCCCCGGGCAAGATGATGTCTTTCGCCCACGCAGAGCAGGTATGTCGAGGTGCATAGTATTGACCCAGCCGTTGTCTGAATACCCTCTTAGTAATCATCACTTCAAAAGTAGGCAGGTTTCCCAGGCAATCCTCGGACCGCCAATATATCATCATCGCCGATATCTCGTACTTGTATCACGTTGTCGTATCTTCCAATCATGGCTCGGGAAAGGATTCTGCTTGCCGGCGTCACAGGATACATTGGGGGCAGTGTGCTCCACCAACTGCTTCGCAGCAAACATGCAGCGATCAAAGACGCTGATATTACGTGTCTCGTTCGAGGCCAAGAAAGAGTTGCACAGCTCCACGCTGCGTTTGGTGACAAGGTCAAGGTTATCGGCTTCGAAGGTCTGGACGATACTGACCGCCTTGTCGAGATAGCAAGTCAGTACGACGTCATCTTCAACATGACGCTCGGTTATCATCTCGCCAGTGCTGCGGCCTTTATCGAGGGTCTTTCGTTGCGCCAGAAGTCCACTGGCAAAGATGCTTGGATGGTCCACACTTCAGGTGTCTCGAACCTTGCGGACCAGCCACTCTCGGGTGTTCACGTTGAATCAAAACCCGATCTGGAATTCGACGACTCGAGGGACAACATCTATGCGTATGAGAAGTCGCGCAACACAGTAAAAAAGTACATTCAACGCACAACGGAGCTTGGCATGATAGATGCTGGACTCGAGTCAGGCGTGAAGACTGTCGTTCTCATGTCTCCATTGATCTACGGGGTGAGCGACGCCTCCCCGCAAACTGCGGCCCCGCACGATATTGACACCTCGTCTAGGTTGGAACGGGCTTGTGGAATAAGCGTAGTCTGCAAGTTCCTCGATTGGCCCGAGCGGCGATCTCTGAAGGGGAAGCCATCGTTATCGGTGACGGCAAGGGCGTGTGGGACAACGGTACTATTACCGCCGAATCTCTGTCACAAACGCACGCTGATCTCTTGCTCTAGTTCATATCGAGGACCTGGCAGAGCTCTACGAGCTGGTACTCGTGGAGATCTTGTCAAAGGGAGGCGCTTCTCTGCCCAAGGGGAAACAAGGCGTTGTTTTCAGCGCACATGGGCGTCACACGTGGATCGAGGTGTCGCAGGCG